ACAATAAATTACAAAGCGTTAGTGCTAGTCTCAGGTGAAGTAAAATGCTCTTTGAAGTTAATTTATTGAAAAGTAAACATATAGAGTAGGCAACTCGGGCCTAAAGTATTTTTTTTTATGTTATAGGAGGGCCAACGAGCAGACGGGTCACCTGATGGAAAGTGACTACCGCCGGCCATGGACACGTGCAACTCATGAGTCGCACCATTATGCCAAAGCATGGCTCTCCCACGCTAGGTAAGTATTAAATTGTTATTATATTTTAAATTTCTACCCCTTTATAGCTGTCACTATTTTAACTGAGAAGCACTTCCAGTAAAATATTTAAATAACCTAAAGAACGAGCTTTCAGATAAGGAAATCAGAATCGAAGCATCGATCAATAACCCCATAATCAATGACATTTGTGCGCACATAAATGTTCTACGTGAGCATATTTTATGTTAGAAGCTTAGACGGAAAAGCCAATAACATGGTTAACAACACGCAAATGCAGGAACCCTTGAAGTGGATCAAAGTATCATTGACGTGCATTGAGACTGCTCCCAATTAATAGATTTATATTATAATTTGCCTTTGCTCCGCGTAAAAGTTACATTTTTATATCAAATTTTATCTACTTCTGTATAGCTGTTCTGGCGTGATTGAGGAACAAACATCCATTTAAACTTTCACATTTATAACTTTAGTATAGATTAACTGCCCTATTTAATATAATAATACACTAACGGCTGTATATCTTTAACAAGCTAAACAACAAACGTAGAACCGTTTTTTTTATTAAACATTAAAGTATTAATTGTTCCATTTATGACTTATGAAATCTTAATTTGTCTATATTGATCTTTGAACTTCACATACGAGTATTATGCACGTATCGCCGTGGCATTGAAAGGTGTTGACATCATCTACCTACGAATAACACTCAATATTATAAATACTCACTGTCCATGATTATGCAATTTGATGTATCATCATCATCATATCATATCATATATAACATTGAAAAAATTGAATACATCTATCGTTATTCTCTCAACATTTTTTTTACAAAAGAACTCCCACACTAGGATTATATCTTGTGTCGCGGGAGACTTCACAGACATACATAAAAAGTTCTTGAAGAACACCCAGAGTCAGAACAATAATTTGTGGATCACACAATGTTGTCCCGTGTTGGGATCGAACCATCAACACTCAGAACGGTAGGCGAGGTGACCGCTTAAGCTACCACTCCACCCGTGCAGTCGACATTGTACAAATTGACATTTGCGGTTGGAACATTTGGGAAAACATAATTTTCAAATATTTTTGTTAAGATGTTCTTGAAATAGATATTATTAGTAGGTAGACTTAAATACATCATAATAATGATGTTGATGATGACTTACTTAAAAACATACAACAAACATACGTACCCACCCTAGTTGAACTTACACAGTTTATTTGTACAGTTTACCTGACACTATTATTTTTGTAGTACCACTAAAAACAAAACAGCGCCATCAGACACAATATTTTTCAAATTAAAAACTGTATTGTTTATACTCGTACTTAGAATAAGTTAATCGCTTTTTCGTTTTTGTAACCATTGTAATTCTTAAGATACCTAAATAGAAATTAAGGATAGTTCAATACTTTGTTTGATGTGCACACAGTAGGTACATCGACAAACATACGAGTACAAAGTAAATCTAGTCAACCTTCTCAATCATAATATGTGCATGTACACGTGCCTCTTTAGCTTAGCCCTTTAGTAATTAGGTAAAGCTCATTTTTACGAAGATTGTTGAACCTTAGCATTATTTCAGTAAATTAGAATTTATGAAAGGGTTGCTGTCAATAAATGTTTAATAAAAAAATAACGACTCATCGTAGGGTTATTCTAAGAATTGAGTCAATGCGGAGCAACGCAGCCTACTTTTGCCTAGTTCATACGCTAAGGAGGGAAGTGGATTTATTGTATTTCGAACTCCTACAAGTTACTGTTAGTTAATTTCGTTGCGGGTTCCAAGACAGTTTAACTTTTTCTGGGACTACCCGAGTGTGTGAACTCGGTGTGTTCATGGGTGGCTGCTGTTGATCTTGGTGTACAGGAGTTACAGCAGTAGGCGTGTGGGAGGAATTAGTCACGTTACTACACTTAGTCCCTAGTAAAGTAGGCAGATAGAACGAAATATTTATGACACCCGTATTACTGTGTATAGTCCTTAGTGCATATGTTAATATTTATATGAGTATTTTAGTATGCAAATAAAATATTGTATTTATCTGCATACATACTACACAACTGATAAATCAATAGTACCAGATTTCTGGTTTTATTATTGAAAATACTAATCTCTAAATCAATTAATCAAATATTAGGCACAGCGTAGGAAGGTATGTACATATGTACCTAATCCTTAAATCTTAAGATAGTAGTGTTTGTAGAGTATAAAGGTCCCTCTGGGTTCCTTCCATCCAAGCAAGACACATGATAGTCCCAGAAACAATAAAGTACATGTACTCGTTCACATGTTATCCCCTTCATAATAAAACATAAAAGCACTTGTCAAAACAATTTCTCATTTCATTATCTATAGCCTGCCTATTCTAAGAGTAAAGCATCCTACCAATACATAACACGTGTATCTTTACTTTACTATACTTACTATATTAAAAAGACATACTGTGTAGATTATCTTATAGAGATTATCTATCGTTAATCCGCTAAACTGTTATGAATTTTGATTTAGATATAAAGTTGTCCATCTAGACATAGGCAGAATTAGAGATTAATAGAGAATAAAAGTTTGCATGAGAGTAATTCTACGCAGGCGAAATTGAGGTCTAAAACACTACTAATATCAAATTACAAGTGATTATGTTTTCACGGGTTAATCATTCAGACGATCACCATTAATTTAATGTACGTGTGTTTTAATAAAAAGTAATGTGTTAAGGGATAAAACATAAGGAACAACAATGCATACGAGTGTGTACCTAATCAAAAAATAGATAGGCAACTGTGTGCTTATTGCCTTTATATAGTTGCTTACGAATTTGTACAATCATAGCCCCTTTTAACACAATGGATACTAAACACTTCTCACGTGCCATTGTTTGAGGATGTGACTGCTATACTTACAATTTGTACGTACCAGGCGGAGTTACAGCTCTATTAGTATACAAGCAACCGCACACGGACGCTCTACAAGCAAGAACATATTTATGTAAATTCCCTGACATATACTTGTGAAACAGATAACAATTCCAACTAAACATCGCTATTTACCAAACTTGTAACTTCAATGTGCATATTAATTATTTACTAAATATCGCCTTCTCTTAAAAGTTTCAGAAAACTCTTAACATGTACTCGTAGGTATAAAAAAGACAGAAAAAATATGATTTCTCACTTACCCAATAGATATTGTATCAAATTTGCAGAAGAGGCTTGAAGGCAATATTTAAATTGAATGTAAATATTTTACGTATAATTTAATGTGGTTATATTGCTTTTTCTACATGATTACGTTATTTCTACATGAGTGATATCATCACCGATTTTAATTTTCAAACAGGATTATCCAACTGAGATATTTTAAAACGTGTTATCTGCCATGCCAACTGATTTAGACATTCAATTGTTTTGAGACCTTCTAGTTTACTTGACCAACTTTACCGTCGATTAACATCACCACGGTTGATGTCATCTGACCTAAGTACGTGATAACACGTAAAAAAATATACAGATATTCTAATTAAAGACTTCCTTAGCCAAACTCAGCGGATTATATTTATCTAACTAATGTAACAGTTTCTTAACGCTTCCATAACTATTTTTAAGGAAGTAATATTATGTCGAAAACTGTATAAATGATCTTATCCAGTTTACCACACATATTAATGTATTAAACATGATACGCAGCTGGCAGCCTATGTTTCATTGTTCTAGTCTTAGTCCTTTCGTAGAATTGGCAATGAAATACAACATTTTTATAATATAAAGTTTAAACCTCCGTTTATTTCCATTCAAAGATTTAACTTTTAATGGAAGGATAGTAATAATCTAAACTCAAAATAGAATAGAGCTACAAATTACAGAATGTATTAATCATGGTAATATCCAGATTCTCTTGGAAATTAATTTTATGATAACAGATTCCGCTTTTGTATTATGATAACCGATTACCTAAATGCACGAAATGTACTCTATTTTTACACCTTGGCTGAATTGAGATAATTTTGTTTTTGGCTGTAACCACTTCGCTGATTAGCCATTATAATATTGATCACAACCTGTAACGATGAAGGTTGTCATAACTACCGTAACCGTTATCAATATAATTACACGGTAAATTTTGAGTGCGCCAATACTTCAGATAACGTGTTATCATAGTCAGGTAACTCTTCATCCTTTAATCAGTTATTACGTTATCACTGATGTCAAATATCCGAACATTTTTTATTATTATACATGATATTCGCGCATTGTAACTAATAATAGAAGTTGTTTGCAATGTATTTGATTGTATTACTTATAGATTAGTTCAGCTGTTAAATCTAAAAATAATTTATTATGGAGAACATTGAGTAATGGGAGTAAGCCAGATTCATAAGCAGGTCAACATAAATAAAATTATAGAAGTTTTAATGCCGTGAATCCGTCTTAGTAGCCTGACGCGAAAAACTCTGGATAAAATAGCACCGCTTGAGCGTTCCCTTTGTTTTTCAAAAAATTATAACCGTAAGGATGTAACCCTCTCAGAATTTGAAACACTGCAGAATGACTTTCGAGCATACTTGTTTAATACCTTTTCTAGAACCTGCAGCATATATGGATTAAAATATGTATTTAAATAATTGACAGAAGGTATCTTGTGTACCTATATATAATTATAAAACAAATTTGCAAATATATCATTCCCTGCTGTTTAATATTCATAAAACAGTTGATTTTACTCTTTAATTTAGTGTGTAGAAATAACAGAATACATAAAAATATTTCAACTCACATTAATCTGGCAGTGTATAAATGAAACTGATGAGATCACATGAATTAGCGTATCCGGAACGTTCGTTATTTGTGACGGCACGCGTCTATCGTAGTTTCACCGATACTGGCGCGAATACGAAGGGAAGCCAATGTTGACAAGCCCAGAGATGCGCGGCGCGAAATGCGATTCTACACAACGCATGCGCTTTAGATTTACTAGAGCAGGATAATCCACCGTCTTACAAGTTCCAGTGTGCCATCGTTAATTGACTCTGGATAAAAGAACTGGAATGACAAGGGGTGCCAAAGTCAGTATGATGTTCCGATTGAATCACGGAGATTCAATCGGAACTTACTCCTAAAAAAGGCGTTTAGAAGGTTTCTGTAAAGTAAGGAACATAATAGTGATACAGTATCTACGCAGTATATTTAAATTTACCCCTTAATGGTAGGGGAGACCGAGGGATCGAGTTGAAACAATTTTGACATTTTGTTTCGTACACCAAATACTATGGATAGAAATCGTATGATATTAGTACCAATCGATCGACTTTCATAAAGAAACTGTAAGCGTTAAAAATTGTGGTCAAAAATCGACTTAACCGTAACACTTCCCAACAAACAACTTCCCTCATATCGAGGTAAGATGAAACAGGGATCGAGGGTGTGCGTTGCTCCAGCGGAAAAAGTTCGAATTTCATTGTTTTAGTTTTTGTTAAACTCAAATAATGAAATTCGAACTTTTTCCGCTGGGGCAACGTACACGGATCGATTTTTGAGAAGGCTGTAAAATACGAACTGTAAAGTACGAAACAAACTATTTTATTATTAATATTTTGCACTGATATATCAGTTAAGTAGGTAACTACAGGTCTAATACAATTATTCAAAATAAAATTTTATGAAAATAAAACAACGTCAATCTGACAAGCAGTTGTATTAAACATAAGAAAGTTCCCCGCCAGTGCAAGCTTCATGAGCCCAGTTTTTGCATACCAGACACTGCACCTATTTTTCTTTGGCTCTGCTATTTGAATATGGCTCAAAACAACAAAGGCAAAAGGATTCTTCTTCTTCTTCACAGTCTTCGTTTCCTCTTTGTTTCTTGACAACCTTGATCTTTTTAGTTTTAGTGCCTGGTTTTGATCTTTTCTTGGTTTTGTTTCTTCAAAATTAGGTTTTTTCACCTTTTCTTAGCCGTTCTAGCTGCTACGATTGCAGCTAGTTCATCCTTTACGGTTGCGTCTATTTGTTTGATTTTCTTTCCTTGGTGGAGCCTTTGGCAATTGTCTAAGAGTTTCAGGTGAGAATAGAATTGCTGTCATAGTAGCTGAAGTATCACGTGATGTAGATGCTACAGGTATTATATCAGATGTAGAAAACTATGGAGGGAACAACGGATCCAGTGGTTGAAGGCATAAGGAATCGAATGTCGCGAAGTTACTTCTTCTGCTGCGACTCGCTATACCTCTGTCAGTCTTTCTTTTATAATCAGTAGGCATGCTGAAAAAAAAGCAAATTAAACCACCACAAAAAAAAACTTTTTTTTTCTCTTATTTATTGACTGATGTTAATTAAGATAAATTTTGGTACTTACAAATTTTCGCGAAAATCTGGGTAGGTCCGGAACCCTCGGCGCACGAGTTGGACTCGTACCTGACCGGTTTTTGTCACATGAGACACAGAACTCCATAACCGCGCGACTTACGTCACCGACGCGAACTGAAGCGGAGTGAAGCGCTTGAAAAGCGACGTTGCCACCTCGCTGTCGGCTTTAAGTCCCAAGAAATCGGTACTATTTTAAATCACCGCTTTTTAAAATCCCCTCGGTCTGCCCCACGTAATTAATTCATCTACTGTCAAGTCTAAGCTGTATACACCTCAAAATAAAATAAAATGACTTCAGTGTTGCTTTAAAAAAAAAGAAATGAAACGATTTCTTATTGGTTTAAATTTTTGATTTATTGCAGTATTATATTTATACTTTTAGGGGGTAGTTAGAAAAACTAAAGAAATTTTAAGTAAAGAAACTAGTGCTTAAGATCCGTTAGGAAAAAAAAACCAAATAAATAATAGGTAATAATAATGAATAAATATTGAATGTATTTAACACTGTACGCAACTGTACCGAAATCGTAAGGTGTATTACACTAACCATTTTAAAAGATAGCACAATGTACTGGGTGATCGCTTTTTCGTAACTTGTCCTTGCACCTTCTAAAGACTTTCATTTAATTATCTCTTAAATTATTATATGTACAACGATAAAAATTTAAAGGTAGACAACTGAACTAAACAACTAATTATTGGTATACCATTCAGTTTATATATCCACACACAGGTTTTACGGTGGGCAAAAAAGGCCGCACACATTGTGATCGTGAACGTGGAGAGCTACATTTCATCATAACTTTTTAGTCACTAACAGTATACTAACGAAAATTCGTATACATTTGAAGGCAGTTACAAGCAATAGAATAACGTTTAAAGTAAGTCTTTAGATGTCTTATTCAAAGTGTTAGGACGTATTGAAGTGTTTTCATACTTAATTATATAATTTTTAAACGGTCCATTATTTTTGTTGTTTTATTGTTAAACAAATTAAAACTAATCCTTAAGAAATTATGTACAAAAGATGGTTACAATCCGCCGTTTCAGAGATCCAGCAAACCCACAAACGTTACGCCAGCAGGATCTCGAATAACTTCGCAGCCGAAGAAAATACAAATACCAAATAAGTTGCAACATTTACCTCGTACAGATAACTAATTATTTAGCTAATATTTATTTCAATAATCCAATTAAAAAGAAAATGTCTGGCTGCGGTAATGTTTCAAACGTTACCCTAGCAGGAAATGTTTTTTTGAATTAACTTTAAAAAAAAGTGAAACAAATTTAAAAATGTGCCTAACAATTACAGAAGGGGGCAACTAATTATCTATAACGTTTAAATGACCATTTTCGACATTATTTTGCTGGGGTAACGCACACATGAACGAAAGCTTAAAAGATAAAGTATTCTTTCATCATTACGCATGTCAAAAGCCGATTGTCCAAATAATGGTGTTTATAGTATCAAATCCTGTTCCAATCTTTATATTCTAGACAAATATGAGATAATGTGAACCTGCTTGGCAGTTTCAACCATGTTTCGTCGTAGAGACTACGGGATCAAAATTAAACATCCAACATCAAATTAGATTGGTTTATTTCAGCTTCTTGAATTACATTTAATCGAATGCCCATGTAACATTTATATTAGGTCTTTACCTATTCAATTACCGTTTTGTATGCAATAAGTGAAAGTAATTATTTTTTCAATTTTTTTTATTTCTGTTATTTATTTATTTAGGTAAAGACCTATTAAGATTTAAATTTCATAGTTTTTTCCGAATTGCTTTTAGTAACACATGCCTGAATCCCTAAGAAGATAGGCATCCACTACTAGCATGCTTTGTAGAAGAATCGGTGTAGTAGCATTTTCACATGCTCTTTCCTATTTATTTACTTAATGAACTTTAGGAAGTTTTCTCGTTGAATCTAGACTAATAGATATATAGATTTTCTGACTGTCTCTAAGTTATTTTTCAATCTCTCATGGGCCAGTTTTTTTTTAAGGTGGACATTAGATGATCTTTTCTTTATATCCTTTTTTTCAGTGCGGAAATCCCCTCGGATACCACCCACCGGTGGGGTGGTTATGCCGGACTCGAACCGACAAAAAACCGCATGCCGTCTCGGGTACCAGTTGCCGGGGAACCAGGTGTACCTACCCTAGAAAGGCCAGTCTAAAATTTATACACAAATCATGCTTAACTGTTTAGTATCCAGTAACAGTGTGATAACAGACAAACTAACCATTGCATTTATTATTGTTTTTAATTGATATAGTACTTTTTTCTAGATGAGAGGATTGCGAACAAAGAATACCTTAAAGCCCGCGAAACACTGCGGAAGATTACCTGAATGTCCCTGATGCCGGCTCTGTTATAACATCTAAACTCTATTTAAACATAATTTTGCCAAATCAAGGTCTTTAGCACAAAAACCAAGCCAGGACTGCACGGATGGCATAGTAGCTCAAGCGGTCACCTCGCCCCTTCCTGCTGCGCTGAGTGATGTGGGTTCGATCCCCACATTGGACAACACTTTATGTGATCCACTAATTGTTGTTTTGAGTTAAGTTGTTTGATCTCTATAATGCTTGTCGCAAGATCTATTTAGAGGTGAAGTCTCATACTAGGCATGCCTTTTAAGTCCTGTCGTTTCCATATTTCCCGGCAATTTTGAATTTGGAACTGTTCGATATTCGAATGTGTTTAAATTTTTAATCTCAAAACAGTTGAAAGTATTAGGATTAATGCTATTGTTTAGTCACAGCGTCGATTGGAATCTCTCAGGTTACGTACGAAAATGAATCTTTCTAAGGAAAATGTTCGTGCAATAATTTTCTACAACTTTAGAAGAGGCCTGACACGGCTTCAGTGTTTTGAAGGGCTAACATCTGTGTTCAATGATGAAGCTCCATGTCTGCGGACTGTCGAACGCTGGTATTTAGAATTCCAGCATGGACATACTAGTGTTAGTGACAAATCTCACGAAGGACGCCCAAAATCCGCTTTCACTGAAGATAACATCATTGCTGTGAGACAACTAATTCTCGAAGATCGTCATATGACGTATCGAGAGATAGAGGCTCTATTAGGCATCTCAGGGACAACCATTCAGAAGATCTTGCATGAAGCGCTTGGTGTGAGAAAGCTAGTTTGCCGTTGGATACCGCATCTGCTTTCCGACGATCACAAGGCGACCCGCGTCAGATGGTGTAAGAAAACTCTGCAAAGGTTCAACAGAGGAGAGTCAATTCACGTCTACGACATCATCAGTGGTGACGAATCTTGCATCTATGCCTATGATCCTGATTCCAAACAACAATCTGGGTCTTTCAAGACGAGCCAAAGCCGACTAAAGTTGTTCGTTCTCGCAGCACTTCAAAGAAGATGGTGGCCACGTTCGTTGGAAAAACCGGCCATGTTGCGACTATTGCACTTGAAGATCGTGGAACGGTTAACACAGAGTGGTATACCACAGTTTGTTTACCACAAATCAGCGCCGAACTTCGAAAATCTAACTCAAAGCGACGCATCATCCTGCACTACAACAACGCAAGCTCACACAGCGCTCGTCAAACGACTGAGTATTTTGAAGAAATTCTTGACCATCCTCCTTATAGTCCTGACCTAAGCCCTAACGATATCTT